GAAGTTGATTTGGCCTGAAAATCAATCCCTTGAGTGGGACTAAACACCTATCAGTCGAACCGCCGCCCGACGAGGTGCTCAGGTTGCCCCACGCCCAGGCTTGTGCTATGGAGTGGATGTCGTTGGTGACATACATGGCAGCTACGATCGGCACGCCCGGCCGGCCAATGCACGAACCGCGGTTTGGTCTGCCAGCGGCCGTCTTTCCAAAGTCGAGTCGCAGTCCTCGTCGTTTCTGGTGATCCTCGTCAAGTTATAAGACGCGCCGAGGTGTTGGTGAGTGCTCAGTCTTCGACTACGCATAGCAACCAATACACAAATGACATGTTTGTGAGTCCTATGATCGAATAGAGTTTCTCCTTGGGGGGATGCCAATGATCTCGACACGACGTTGACAGGACACCGTGTACCACTGAGGAAAATCTGCGGCTCATGTGCCTGGTCAGCGTGCGGCTGTGCCGAACCCACGAAGAGCAAGTAATAAATTGCTTGCAATGCCAGAGTGTGCACTCGAGCTCTTAGGGAAGTTCAGAATATGGAAATTGTGCACAATTTGGCTGCATACACTGCTTCTTCGTGCAGCTGCGCGCCCGACTCACGTACGAGTTATACTAAGTGCAGAGGATGTTGTTACGACTCGGATCGGGGCATTGATGTTCGACTCGAACTCTGATGAGACTCACTACGCAAAGTTCAACTTGTATGAGCACCTGATGACTGACTGTCTTATGAGATTATTTGCCTAGTTAAGCAACAAACGGGCTTGGTGACGGTGTGCTTCATAACTTGTGCATCACCAGTGCGTACTCTCCGAGCTCGCGGCATATGTCACCGGAAGTCACAAAGTCACAAAGCACGTGAGGGTGACGGACGCGTTTGCGACAGGCGCCAAGTCTACGCTGGAATTCCGATTCCTCATATGTTCTCTTCTGCGGAAGCACAAGCGCGTTCCTTGTTTGAATCAGTTCCTAGACCTCTCAGGGTAACTCTGCCTCAAAGTGAGAAGAGTACAGTATCCTTGTATCTGGATCCCGGGCCAAGTTGCAACATACAAGGATAGTGACCCAGAATTTTGTAGCGCGTATAGCAATAACCACATTGCCAGTTCGCTCTGTTGCTGTTGTCGCATCACATGCCAATACTCAAGTACTCATTCCTGCGGGGGACCCTGATCTTCTTTCTCCACTTTGGAGCATGCGTTCGGCTTGCCTTTGTATCTGGGCAAGGTTCTGGAACAGCCGCATGCAGCCCTGAACCGTGGGGGATCTCTGAAGAGGTGACGTACCCTTCATCATCGTCCATTTCTTGCAACAGCTCGCTGTGGCCCTTGTGGCCGGACCATTTCGGAACACCGTCGGGTATATCCATGACGCTAGGTCGCAATGCAGATGTAAGTTGACACATTCGACCAACCGGTATGTACGACTCTTCTCACCGTTGACTGTAGAATATATGCGCAGTGGGCTGGAAGTCGAGCGGAATCTTACCGTCTTTGAACCGGAAGGACGACGGGTACGCGAGGACTGTGTTGCGACCCTCATCGAATATCGGCGAGCGGCAGACATTGCATGATACCTTGCATGGAACACTGTGCTCTGCGGTTCGGTCCTCCGTCGAGAAGAAGTGTAACGCGTTTTCATGATTACGGAGCATGCGCACAGAGGTCTGTCCACACACATCAATGGTTCGCAATAGGGATTCCAAAAACGAGCGCTCGGGCACCTTGGGGAAAATCACGGCCCACTGAAAGGGCGCACCGTGCAAGCGCTGACATTGTCGACAATGGCAATGTTTCGCGTCGACAGGGTCACCATGGAACTCGAAGGCAACGTGCCCGCACCAACATTGCCTACGCTTGCAATTGCCGATGGAGCCAAAGAGTCATGAGATTCACGGGCTGAGGCTTACGAGTAATATTTGGGCTTAAACAGTTCGCCGTCACTCTTCCACTCGTATGGTGGTTTGCGCATGTAATGCTTCTCGTAAGTTCCGCCTTCGTGACTTGGTAGCTCTCCGTGCCATCCTGTGTCGGGAATCTTGTGCGCCTCATGGGTGTTGCGCTCTGGGTGGTCTTCTGGCGGTGAATGTGGAATGCGTGAATGCGGACCCTTGTGTACGGGTGCCTCAGGATGCACGTTTGGCTTGACGCGATCGTTGGGAGTCATGAGGTGTGCACTGCTAGTAGTGTTGTGAGCGATCGTACGTTCAAGTGGGCAAGAGCGTCGCAGTGGTGCGAGCAGAATGCGTAAGGGAGGGCACCAGCTTCCAGTGGGTGAGCCATTCCTTCAACGAACACCATTCGCTGGCCGCGGACCCTCTAGTAAGGGGCTAACTTATCTGGGGGGTCGCCAGTGGTGCGACTGCTCGCAAGACGTATGATGTCACCATTACGCGTCGCGATCACATGCTCCACATCCTAGCCAACTTGCTGTCACTCTGGCATTCCCCATTTGGACGCTATGTAGTTCGCCTTACTCCCGTCTCGCCTCCCCTGAACCTCAACCACCATCTTCTGCTCAGTGAGCCCAGTAGTTGACTTATACCTGCTTCTCTTCATCTCGAGCTTCAACACGAATGTGAGTGACGAGATGCCTGTGCTGTATACTAGTAGCTCATGCACAGCCTTGACCGACCGCATCCTATAGATGCCGCTGTTCTCAAGCCTCCTGCCAACGGCTGCCGCATCGTATGGCCTTCAATCAGGTGAGTGCCGGGACACGCGGCCTTCGATTCGATTGCTGCCAGTGGTGCCCTAACCAACAACGCGGTATCAGTGCTCGCCGTCATCTTCGTGCCTCAGGCAAACGAAAAATATTACGATCTCGGCGGCGCTCTCGGCTTCTTGACAAGCACCTTTGTGTCTCTATATTATCCATCTTTGAAGGCGCGATATTGGTATAATCTGCCCGGCGTGCAGCTTCCCCCTATCACTAGCTTTGCGCCAAGGCAGCTGCTCTTGAGCGCTGCCGTTGTTGCCTGGAGCACACGGTTGGGTAGCTTTCTAGTTACAGTGAGTCATTAGTCACCTAACGAATATTGATCGTTGAATCGATTCGGTGACATAGAGGGCTTTCAGGGCCGGTGGCGACTCCAGATTCGATGAGGTCAAATATCAACCAGCCAAGTTCACAGCCTTCTGGATGGCCCAAGGTATTCTAGCGTCGATATCAAACTGCACCCCAACTCACTCACTGTTCTGCATGACTCTAGCTACCTGGGTATTCATAGTCGGCTTGCCCGTCTACCTCGTGAGCTCAGGATGGCGCCGGGCATCGTGCCCATTTGCTGACGTGTTAACAAGGTCAATGCATTGCCCGCGGCTACACATCCTCCGCTCAGGCCCCTCGACTACTTGTCCATCGCCCTGTTCACCGGTTCCTGGGTTTTTGAGATAAGTGAGTAAATGCTCTCGGTAACGGAGCAGATGTAACTGACGTGGTATCTGCAGTTGCGGACAGGCAGAAGACTGCATGGCGTCACGCCAGAGACAATAAGCAACATGATGAGAAATTCATTACCGGGGGTCTATGGAGCATTAGCCGCCACCCGAAGTACGTGTCGCAGCTGCGTGCCAACTTTCTGTGACACGGGGCTTAATTGACGGTGTTCGGCTTACAGTTACGTTGGCGAAGTGAGTCTCTGGACGGCGATGTGGCTCTTGTCTGTCACGTCGTTAAGGACGCCCTCTTTTCCGCGCGCCTCCTGGCTGCTTGCGGGCGCGAGTCCTCTAATGACGTGGTTCTTGTTGCGTAATGTGTCAGGCGTGCCGCCCTTGGAGGCAAGTTCTTCCATGGCTTCCTAACTAAATGCGGGGCTCACCGTCTCGTGGTCATGCGTAGAGAGCGGGCGACCTCCGGTTCGGGAACGATCCGAAGTGGCGGGAGTATAAGCGGTGCGTGATGCTTTCACGTTCCATCGGCACATTCATGTTCCTGGGCCCTTGCCCTGCCATTCAAGTCGGGCAGATTGCCGCACCGATAGGTCGCGCTTGCACACCGTATCGCGCATGTGCCAAACTATTTGGCGCGTTGGCGCTTCCGCTCGTCACTCAGCGTGCATACATTCAGCATCCTGGTGCCCTTGGACCTCTCAGACGGCCGACCCCGACACAACGTGGTATCTGTCATCATTTCTCAGCCACATATGGTTTCATTGCTGTCCTTGTGGGTAGCTATGAATCAGGTTCTGGTGCGCCTTCCTAGATACATTGTCGGGGCCTCTGTAGGGTCCAGCACCGGCACGCATGGACTAGCTTGTCTTCGCACGAGTTCATGAACCCTGTCCTCTGCTGGGTACACACACGCTCGCTCTCTTGACTATTCTTGGCATAGCGAGGTCGTGCGGTAGCCCGTTCCCTCGCTCTCAATTCGAGGATTACGTGTGTGCTTCCATAGCTCTCCAACTCGCATTACGCGCTTCCTGAGACAAACGAATGAAAGACTGACGTGTTGGTCTCGCACACAGGAATGTCCCCGTCTTCTGGCCTTGGGGACCGCGCGGTTGACGCTACGAGCCGCTGTACACCCGCCAAATGCAGGCCCGCAGTTTGTGCGCCTTCGCACGTCGACCTTTTTGTGTACTCTATGTCCTATCGCAGGGACGCGTGTCAAAGATGTAGCTTGAACAATAGACTTCGTGTACGTTGCCGGAACTTGGTATACTCGCCGTGGATTCCGTCTGCAATTGCATCCGGTATGACAGTTGTGGTGTCAGCGTGCGGCTTATTGACCGTGACAGCCTGGAATAAATGCACTCTGAGTGACTACGATCATTGTCACGCACTGGTAAGGACTATAGGCACACAGTACACTACGGGCAATATTTTGGGTCTGCAGTGCAGATGCGAACGGCGAGGCGCAACACGGCGCGCGCGCTTACTGAGCAAGAGGGTAGTTACTCGTCAAGGAAACCCTGGACATGAGTGACGACGGGGTCGGTGGTACGCATTCCTTCACGTCCGCATTATACTGTACCTACATGTAGATAAAAATGCGACAAAATGGACGTTGAGGGGTTTGAACCCTCGACCTTATGCATATAAGCACTTTGCTTACACAAGGACCCTCAGGATGCAAAGCATACGCGCTACCACTGTGCCAAACGCCCTGGAATAAAACAGCATACAGTGCAGTTATATCTTGGGCCCAGATCTTTATATCAGCACGCCCCGCCAGGGTCCATGTCGTTACCAGTGGGATAGGCGGCATTGAATATACAACCACTGTCTTGCCCAGGCAATACCACTTACATCCCGATGAGTGGCGCATGATGGTACATCCTTGGGCCAATTGTACGACAATCTCGATACATACGTAATAGTTTGATGAAAGAAGTCAGGGCCCTGGAAAAGGATAAAAGGAAACCTGGAGAGAAAGCCCAAGATTACGTTGAGTTGATGATGCGAAGCGCCGAGGGGTATTCTAGCTCGTATGATTGATTGGCTGGCCCAGGCCGGCTAGCACTCTTCCATGCAGGCGCAATGCAAGCGTATTTAGATACTATCTTCCTCAGTCCTGCCACTCAGATCTTGAAGCTCCTATCCAACTTACGGCCGCATGCGCGCTCTTTATGACACAATTGCCTGCTCCTAATTCTTGTCCGAGCTCCCATAAAACGGAAGCGTGAGCTTCAACCCAGGTCAGCATCATCTCCAGCCTGCACGTTCGCTACTCACGCATTGGCATAGTCCCATGGCCTCTCCAACTGGTAGAGAGTCACCTGAGGAGCTGGCCGCCATGAACGATTTCCGTACCAATATATGGTCCGTGTTCCAGCCGTTATATGAAGACAAGTGGGATCAGGGTACGTACGGCCAAACCTTTCCTCGCTCAGTAGTCTCTGATCCCGCTTCGATGACCATTGTCCATCAGCTAGATGGGACACCGCCGTAGGTATGCGCCTGCCTGCTTGCACGCACATCGCCACTTGACACAACCGACCGAAGCACGGTTCAAGGCGGCACACGACCCCGTGGTTGTAGATCGCTTCATGAAAAAGGCACGGCTGCCCACCTGGGAAGCCCTCGAGGAGCAGATGAGGAAGGGGCCACCTGCTTTCCTGCGCCCTGGGTGGCGAAGTCCGCTCCTCGGAAAGGGGGTGGATTTGTCATGGCTCGATTCGGATGCATTTGGGTGCATACGGCCAAGCAAGGACGGGTGGAGGACCAAGAAGGTCGTCGTCATCGAATTTTGGGCGTCGTAAGTCTCGTCGCTTATCTCTCCGGCAGAACGTCAGATAACTAACCGCAATTTATCCCCTCTCAGCTGGTGTCGGGTGCGTGCGGCGCCGTCCCGCTTCTCTGTCACTTCTCAATAGACATCCCATTCTAGCCTTGTCATGTCGTCAGCAGCATCCTCTCGAGAGTCAATGCGACCAAACCGGACGTGAAAATTATCACCTTCAATCATGAAGGCATCTTCAACAAAACGGAAATCGACCGGTCCGTCGTCAAGAACTTCGTCAGCAGCCGGAATGACATGGATTACCCAATATACATCGACTCACATCGTGTTGCCGTGCAGAGTAAGGGTGCTGTGCCGTCTTGCCTCTTCAGGTGCCGACTAACACACGTTCCGCAGACCTGTTCGAGCCAGGACAAAATCTATCGATCCCGCTAGGTGACGAGTTTCCCACCCATGCGAAGTTTCTGGAAGAAGACTCACCCCTGACATTAGCATTCATCATCACTACAAAAGACCAAATTGTGCATTGGGTTGGCAATCCCGAGGAAATGGCTGCTCCGCTTGAAAAAGTCTTGAGGTCTCCGTGAACCCCGGAGGTCATATCCGGCCCCTCGCACATGTTACTCCGAGTCTGCCGTTACGCGATGTCTGGGATGCACAGAAGTTTTGCTCTAGATGTATGTATATAGTTGTTTAGCTTGTATCTAGCCGACCCATCGATTGGTATCCTGTCGTGTGTCTTCTGTGTCGTACCCCAGAATGTATTTGCTATACAATGGAGACCTCACTGCGCAATGTCAAGCAGCGCGGCTATGCCATATTGCCCGGCATTTGTGTTGCTAGTAGGTTCCTGATCGCTTGAGAGCCCGATCTGATCAGGCGGAACCCTCACTCTGCGTTGCGCATCCGATCCATAGCGGCGGAACCGCCTTCCGCATTCGAGACCGTTCATTATGACTGTGAGTGGCGGGCGTCTGAGTCGTCACCATCGTGCAAAGAATACACTGGTAGGTGCATGGGAGGTGCCCAACATAGGCACAGTGAGCACCTCATTGACCAGCGTCAAGGGTATTGGTTATCGTATCTTGCGCGTGGAATCGTACTAGACCCTCCCCAGCATGCGGTCTGGCTTGACGGAGGTCGGCGGATGCGCGAGCATGGCCGTACTAGGGAAAAACCACGGCGTCATCGATCGTGCGGGGGTACCATCCTGATCCTTCCGCGGATCTGAATAGCTTGCACTTGGTGTTGGCCACGCCGCCCCTGTTCTATCGCGTGTTGCAAACAAGATCGTCAGGTACACCAGACTAAACCTTCCTGGTGTGCCCTAAGCGAGTCTTCAGGCTCCGGCGAAACATGGTCACTAAGTGGCAAACTCGCCTTGTTGATGGAGACATTGCAGGACCCCATTCAGATGGCGCTACGCCGCGAAACTCAATGAGATCATCTCCGCTACTGTATGTGCAAGGCGCCGAGGAGGATACTCAGATAGCTGGCCGTGGTCTGTTTCATCACGGAAACCACGATGAATGTCAGTAACGAGATACCATCGCACAACCAATGGAGTAGCGGTTGATGTCCGTAGATTGCACTGGACATCGATGAGAAACAACTTGAGAGGATACGCAACTCAATTGTGATCAATTGATCCGGTACGGGCTGTCGCCCCGCGTTCGCTCAGTTGATGAGGCTTCCGGTTGTTTCTCGAAGGCATGTAACCAAGCACGTCCGAGTCCGACGCGTCCGCGATGCGAACTTATTTGCACCGGCATCATCGCGACGTTGCGGCGGGCTAAGCGCGACATCTGTCATACGCATGCAATGGGTATAATATTTGATGCTTACTGGTCATTGACTAGATGAAAAGGACATGCCTGCGCTCCCGTGTGATACGAGATCCGCGATAGACGGTCTTGAGCGGAGCGTGACACGTACTGGAGTAGTTGCGCAGGGCACACTCGGGTAGGCTGCAAAAATCTGGACGTCTTCAGGATTGAAACCAGTCAACAACATGAACCAATATGAACCATACCTTGGGCGATCGGAACATGTGCATGTGCATATATGCGTATTGCGCGGGGTCGCAATATGTCCGGCACTAGCGCAATCAGCAACCGGGACGTATGGTGGCCTTGGGACTTGAGGATGCGACTCACCGGTAGGTTCATCACCAGCCCGGATAGAATTTTCATTTTGAAAAGAGGAACCAATGTACGACTGCCTCGCTGGCACCCGTAGCGCCAATTCCTGGAGTCATCCAACGCGAGACACTACTTTAATAGGCACCAACTAGGCACTGGTGCACGGGTGCTCTAGCCATGCGAAGTTGTGAAGTCGCGGCGCCGCTACTAGGCATAGTTCCCTATGATGACTCAGGGGCAAAAGGCCGCGCTGATTTCAATATGCAGTATCAGAAAGTGTCAATGGCCGAACGCAAGCGTAAACGAGGGTGCGTACCTGAAGCTCGCATTGTAAGCTGGTGGACACAGTATGTTGGCCGCCAGCGTCCTCACATCATTTCTGGGCATGCTGACGAGCCACGTGCCAGGTCGGCCGTTGTTGGAACTCGCACTCCGTCCACGTTGGGGCCAGACGCTGCAGTGCTAGCTGAGAGCAATGCTCGGTCGGGATCTGATATACCAGACTCATCGCATGAACAGACTTCGAGAGTGGAGGATGTGGTGGACTCTGGAGGTCAATTTGAACCCGGCAGTGCGGCGGCCCTCCCGCGGGGCATCGAAATTGATGTGGTTATGTACTCTATGCGCTCACACGCATCATACAGTGACGTTTTGTTACCCGGTCCTCCTCTTACGCCACTCAAAGTCTCTCTGCACGAAAGAAAGAGTCCCCACAAGACTGCGATTCAGTGAATATAGGGTACGTACTACAGGCCATGTCAGAACATAAACGCAGACTCACCGCTCTGCCTCGTCTAGTACGGCGTCCGGGAGTTACACACTATGCCTCAACTAGTAGCAGACGTTATCGACCTCACCAACGACAGCGACCCAGAGGATGCTGTACGGCGCCCAGCACAGGGGCCGCGTCAGCACCGGGCACATCCGCTGAGCGCAGCAGCACGCGACCAGCTGTACAAGGCGATCGAGACCTGTCCCGAAGACAAGCTCCGGGATATCCTCGCGAACATGGTGGTGGATGACTCAGTCTCGGCGCGCTCGCTGTTTGAAAACCTCGTTGTAGTCAATCCCCCGCCCCTTCCTGCTGTCGAACAGCCCGTTGACCTCGTGCAACCTGTCGGGCGCAACTTGTTTGAACCGGCACCTAATATGGTACCTCGCTGGGCAACATGCGAGCATTGTGGAAAGGACTTTGATTTTGCTGAAGAGCGGGAAGAAGACGAGTGCATCTACCATCCGGGTATGACGCGTTCTCACCGGTATATCGGGCCAAGAGTCATGTTATTGACGTGTCCGCTTCGTGAACAGGTTCTCTCCAGGTTGATTACAGCGAATGGCCGGACCACGACGAGGACGTGCACGGCCCGATGGATACCCCAAGCAACAGGCGAGCGCATCCTCAGGGTTTCCGATGGACCTGCTGCACGAAGGATGGCTCGTCGACTGGCTGCACTGAAGGGACGCATACTCAATCGAAGAAGCGGCGCACGAGATATTAGAGCAGTGCCCAAGTAAGTAGCTGTCTCCAATACGCTTCATGACGAACCGCTCGCGAATAGAAGCGAGTGAACTCGGTCTCGACGTCGTGCGAGAAAGCAGGGACAAGTGCTCGTCAAATAATCTGACAGCCAGACAAAGTACAAATGATATTACAGCTCTACAAGCTACATATGGTTTTTATTTCGTGTACAATGGTACTACAAACAAACAGAGTCCCAGGTTTCCATATAAAAGATCAGAACGACAGTGGGGTGCGCCGAAAGTTGCCAGCCCAGTGAATGAT